ATTCTGGCACGTCCGTGGCGTTGAGAGAGAAGGTGGCGGGATTGCGCGTGCCTGAGAATTTGGGGAAGGCACGCTGGAGGCAGGGACAGTAATCACGACAGCAGAGTTGGAGTCCACCAACGCCATCAGAACCGCTGGATCTGTAGCAAGCTCAAAATCCAAAAGGAAGAGCAGCTGTCGCTCCATGAGATTTATCTCTGGCAACGAGAAGAGTCTCGAGTTTGCCGCCCAAACTCTGTTCCGGACAGGTCCATCGTGCAAGTACTTTGTTGCAATAAGCAGAGCAGCAAGGACGATGCGGTGCAGGGAGCAGGCGAGTCCACGCGCAGTTGAAGGCAGTTTGTGTTCGAGGCGTGTGAGGTAGCTCGTGGCCAGCAGAACCATGGCGGGAGTGACTGCCTTCGTTCGCCGGATCACATCTCGCATGAAGGGCGCAAGGCCCGGGAGGGGAGTGCTGTTGGGAGCTGCGGGTGCACATACGATAACGCTCTTTGACGTACGAACAAGAAGCTCTGAGAACGGAAACAATGCGTTAGACTACGGGTGAAGACAGACGGCAGAGACGGCGAATTCGTGCGCATAGATGGACGTCAAAACTTACCGAGGTGAGGTTCAGTCACAGCACCGCTGCAGGCGGCTCGAAGGAGGGATTGTTTGCAACACGAAGCCATTGACGGGAGCGGAAAGCACTGTTCGATGCGAAAGGGTGCGGTTGAGTAGAGCAGCTACTGCGGATACTGAACCTGACAGAAATAGGCGGGTGGCTCTCGAGGGATATGTATGTATATCGTAGTCGTTGGGAGCGGGGGGAGGGGGGGGGGGGGGGGGGGGGGAGATGAAGCGTCTTATAGTCTTTTAGGAGCAGCGGAGACCGGCGACCACCATAAATAATTAGCCTAGACTTGTGTCTTTGCGAGAGCTTCTGGGCCCCCCTTTGGATGATTTTAGCTGCGGACGTCAGTTGAGGATAAGGTGCGTGTCAAACACAAAGAATGGACCGAAACGCGCGCGTGGAGGCCGGTAGGGCCAAATCGCCGTTTTGAGAGGAGAGAGGCCGTGAGTTTACAACTACGTCGTCAGCCAGCTGATGTCCGCGCGACAGACTTGGAATTGATGTAATTTATTCAGGAATTGATTGCTTGATGTGATGAAGCGGGCGTGGCTGCGGATGCTGATGCTGATTCTCGGCAGATGATTCGAATTGGGATTGGGCCACGAAGGGAGGGAAGGGAAGGGTGACGTGGCGGAAGGGGGTGGTGGGAGATTGATTGCACGAGGGAAGGTTATTTGAGCGCCGGTCAAAAGGGATCGAGATTGCCTGTCTGGCACAGTCAGGACTACAAGTTATGATAGTTGGCGAAGGGAAGGGAAAGGAAGGGAGGCAGGGCGGAGATAATGATAAATAAGTAATAGAGTCTTCAACCGCACAGCCCTCCCTCCCTTCGCTCCCTCGTGCGAATAATATACTCAGAGTATCGATATAGTGAGAATGGATGAAATGAACGTGCGGTGCGGTGCGGTGCGTGCGATGGGCCGTGTGATGAACTTGACCCTTCCCCTTTGCGCGTGCAAGTCATCTGCCAGTGCCTGACCGGCTTTGGCCCCCTACGTGCTGCGACTGCCCCGCATCTTCGGTACCCGCCAAACAAGATCAGGAGCAGTCCGCGGGGCTTCAGAGTCCCGGGAGTACGCTGGCGACCAAGCGCCGGGAATGCGGTATCCATCGGGTAGATTCGATTTCAAGCTTGTGAAACTCGGAAGTTCTCGAATCTCAAGTTCTGGGCCGTTCTGGCCAGGGCAGGTGGGCCGTGGGGCATCGGAATCTGGGAAGAGTAAAATTTGCCCGAAATGCCGGTCACGTTTGACCGCCATGGGTCTGCGCATTTTGGCTGTTTGTGGCGATTGATCACCGTGAGGATGGATGGGCTTAGTATCGATAGTCCGACAGTATGCCTGCTATGACTGGGCCCCACAACGCGTGAGGGTGTGACCTTTCTGGAGCCCGTGTGCCTCCGATCCTGCAATTCTGATTTCAGAAAAGTCCCCAACTTTTTTTGCTCGCATTGCCAGTCAAAAAGCCAAAACGGCAAGTCACCGGCAATCTCACATGCAAATTTTCCGCAGTTGGCACATTTGACAAGTTTTGTGGTCCAAGCCTTGTCCAAAGGGAACAATTGGCTACGGGGACTTCGGCGCTCCGCACACTGGCAGTTGTGCTTGATCGCCAGCGAGGCAGGAAGGGCGGGGAAGAGTACGCATAGCAGAGGGACGCAAAGGGCGACGGATGTGGTCGGGTTAGTATGTACTCCGGTGGGCCAAGGAATAGATCACATCGGCAAAGATCAGCAACGAACTGTACTCTGCCGGGACGGATGAATGCTGCTTGAGAATTGATGTGCATGCGGCAGTCAAGGGAGATGATGGCCACGGTAGTGTTGTCCGCCCCGCATGAGGGAGACGGCCGGCATATAATCACACATCGTTACTGGCGCAAACTTAAAAGGGGTTGGATGGCAGGGATTGCGTGGCAAATGAGAACTAAGCTGGAAGTTTGATAGTAAACCCATCGACAAAGTTTATAAACCAAAATGGGTAGCGCTTCCCAAATGGCGCGGCATCTAATATTCCGCATAAACGATCAGCCTTTGAATCCATGCGTTACAAATGGACCGCCGCCCATGAACCACCTCCGTGCTCTCTGAGAACCCGCCGCGTGCACATGGAATTTGTTCCTCTGCAGCTCAAGAGCCCTCAACGGTCTTCAATATCAAGCCCATCCAAAACCTCAATATACTTCATCTTCGTGATATCCACCCATCATTTTGATCATATACCTCAGAATCCTCTCCTGGAACTTGCGATTCCTTCAGCATGGACAAACATCCATATTCCGGCCTGAGGTCCTCATCTTTAAGCTATTCATGTCCGTCTTAATAAGCTGGATAAATACATCATTGCTTTTAGCTCATCAAACATACAATTGGACGTACCACCCTATCCGTGTGTCGACAACATCTGACAGTAATTTGACGGGCTGCGCATGCTTTGGTAAGCCTAGCGGCGCAGCCACGGGGGCGTTCTGCCCTCGACCCTCTTCCTCACCTTTTCACCTTCTCGTTTTCCAGTGTACATTGCAACAAAGCATACGAACCACGAGGTCCAAGCAAATAAATGTCAAAACGACCTGCGAAAGCAGGGCTCACTGTCCTATCGTCCGATGAACAAACCCTACTCGCCATTGTCAGGGCCCATGCCAAGGTAACAATTCTACAATGAGGAATGGGGCAGGAACACATATGATACCTGGACGAGCCTTTTCCACAAAATGGGCGCCCCATGTCTTTCGCGATGTTCTCCTTTGAGTGTCTTAGGATGTCAGACTACCTGCTAGCTTGAATCGCTAATGTGTTTTTCTTCTCCTTTCTTTCGCTCTTCATGACTTTTTTAACTTGAATTCAGGGTGCTGATCTGGACGACATCAAAGGGCAACTTGACGGATGGGACGATAATCAGATTCTCACGCATATGAATGCGCTGAGTCAAAAAGTATGGAGTTCGTGAGTGTTCTCGGAGCGGAAGGTCCAAAATGAGTCTGCTTGTTAACATTGTGGATGTTGTTTCTGCGCGTTTCTAGCAATATGTCGATTTCATGTCAATGGGAAAGAGTGGGAAGCTGGCGTTCAAGGCGCGGAGTGCGGAGGAAGCTACAAAGTATGTTGCCTCCGTACGGCACAGCTGATAATGATTTTGGGAGTCTCATCCTTCACCTTGTCTTTGCAGGACCGGAGGAATGAAGGATGAGGAGCGTGTGATATATCGACTTGTAAAGGAAGCGAAGAATAGTGGAATATGGATCAAGCAGTTGAAAGATCGATCAGGTCTGCATACGCAGCTTGCGAACACGGTCATTAAAAATCTGGAGAAGAAGAACATCATCAAATGGGTGAAACCCGTCAAGGTGCGTACAACATACATGGGATTTTGACCTGGCCCCGAAAACCTGTACTCATGCAAATGTATGTATTATTTTGCGTGGAATTTAGACACCGCACAAGAAAGTTTACATGTTGTTTGAATTGGAGCCCTCGACCGAGTTGACGGGTGGTGCGTGGTACACGGACAATGAAATGGACATGGATTTCATCGAGCAGCTATCAACCCAAGTTTACAAGTACATTGTCATGAAGGTACGCACCTACCCAGTTGGCAACATATCAAGCACGGATACTTGACTCTGAAAGGGTTTGATTTCCAGAGCTTTCCAGCAAAAAACAAGGACGCGATTTTCCCACCCAGCCACTCAGCATACCCATCTGCGTCCGACATCCACAAGTTTATTTCCAAGTCCGGACTAACAACCGTGCCTCTGTCGGTCGCCGACGTGCAGGCGCTCCTGGACCGGCTCTACTACGATGGCAAAGTCACGCGCATCCAAAAGTCTGGTCACCACGAGTTTGACGATTCAGACCGCATGGATACGGATGATGATTTTCTGGACGAAGACGGTGGCGGTCGCGAAGTCGTTCGAGACATGGACACAGACATCTGGATGTACAAGGCTGTCAGAGGATCCGCCCTCGAAGAGCGCAATGCCTGGACGGACATGCCGTGTGGACGGTGCCCGGTTTTTGATTTCTGTTCCGAAACGGGGCCGGTCAATCCTTCGAACTGCAGATACTTCAAAGACTGGCTCTCCGCCTGAAGGCCTTACTTGGAATCTCGGCTGAGAAACACCAATGATTACTCAGCTACAACATATCGCTCCCTTATATACATGAAGATCCGGCTCAGTGGACACGGGACGAGTAGTCACCCATCCTCCTTCCGTTTTGTACATACATCCCCCGTTCGCACAACCCTCGATATATCCCATCCGTATCTCCTATACTAAATTAAATTCTTGAAGTCTATCGATCCTTTCCAACCCGCTTGTTTCCCACAATTCAGCAACCGCTTGAACGGAGAGACTCACATAATAAGCGACAAAAAGACAAAACAAATGGAGAATCGGGGTATTGATCCCCGTGCCTTCCGCATGCGAAGCGGACGCTCTGCCATTTGAGCTAATTCCCCTGGTGAAACCGACGATTGATGGATGGAATCATCACATATATCTTTCTCGAGGAAACGGGTGTTGTATTGTACTAAGTGTAAACGGCGTGCACAATTCAGATGAGATGGACGTTACTTGGTAAGAGCGCAAGAGCACGGTCGTCCGGTGTCTAACTTGTGTTTTTTTGCTACCAACAAATATATGCAACGTCACCGAGTCTGGCTGGGGGCGGGAGGATGAACGAGCAGCACGCACGCCACTTTTCCCACATCAGGAACGCCTGGCGGTATATTAGGAGGTCTCCATTGATCCAGTCTCAATTAGGAATCTGCACCTATCATCATGAATACAACATCTAACCAGAAGGACGACTGGCAGACCGTCCATATGGTTACATCATCAATTATTTAGTCTTACCATTAGCAGCCTTGGCGCCCTTCACCGCTGGCGGCTACGGTGGTGAAAAACACCAATGAAACAAGCGCATGCAAGTTCGTGCATCATGGCATCTGGTCCGACCGCTGATGGACACCGGACGACTGAGAGTTGGAGGGCAATAATGAAATTTTTCTCGGAGTTTGCGTCTCAGAATATTCTCCTGCCACGGGATGGATGGCCTAATTATGAAAGCTACGACGCAAAATGGGTAACTGTGAAAGCACAACACCATCGGAATCGGGGGCCCCGATCCGTCTACAACGAATGACGATAAGGGGCTCACTCGTAACAAAACGAACTGGTTGCAGCGCTTCCGGGAGAGCTGGTTCTTGGTAGCTTTTTGCCCATTTTGTCAGAGCGATACGTCGTCACTTCCCCTGTGTTTTGAAAGATCCGCCGCTCCACGCTGACGGCCTGACGGCTATGAGACGAGTATTGGACGTATCTCGGGCTTACGTGAGTAGACCCCTTGTACACATTTGGAATTGCTGAAACTCTCCCTCGAAACCCCGCGCGCGGATGGCACAGTCATCGGAGACGCTTTTGACGTTGCACGAACGAAATTAGGCGAGGCTCTAAAGCAGAAGGAGGTCAGTTTGCCGTTAGATGGGGCGGCAATTACTCTTGGCGGATGGATAAGGCGTTGTCTGCCGCATGAAGGAATGCAGATGTTGGTTGGAAATTAGAAAGGGATGGGTTTTTGCACATTTGTGGAAGTGAGACGGTTGGTTGCACGGGCGGTCTCATTTCTCATACACGTTCCAACGGTCCCAACGGTTCAGATAATCGTCAGCGGGTCTGCACAGGGGAATGAAGTGATCCACGGTCTGCTAGCATGGCTGCTCTGCCGTACTCTCCTTCCTGCTCCTCCGATATAAAAGGAGGCGAGGAAACCTCGTCCCACTTTGTCCCATCAACCCAGCTCCACCAATACCTCCTCCACTAGACAGATACATAGACAGTTACCCCTCTTCGCTATATATCACAAGCAACAATGAAGCTTACTGCAATCACCACCGCCCTCTTTGCTCTCACCACCTCCTCGGCTCTCGCTTACCCGGGCGTCTCCCTCACTGCCCGCCGGTTCGGGGAGGAGCAGGCTGTCCAACTCCAGCAAAAGATCAGCGCTGCTTCGACTGGATGCGCCGGCAACGGTGATCCAGCGCTCGGATTCGGAGGACAAGAAATCAGCACTCTGTTGGGTGCCGCTGACCCTTGTGGCAAACTGTCGCTGGCCGACAAGGTTGTCACCAAGGCCAAGGCCGACTGCCCCGCGGGGGCTGCCGCCAAGATCATCGAAGCCGCCATGGACCTGGTCGCTGCCGAGAAGAACTTCAACCCCTTCACTGCCAACGAGGACTCTGTTTGTCTCAACGCTGCCCTTCCCGCTTCCGCGGAACTGCGTGGTATCATCCAGAAAGTGGACCCCCGCACCAACGCTCCCAACAACAACGACGCGGCTCTGGCTGCTTCCGCCGCCGCCTTGAACCAGAAGGCCGAGCAGGTTCTTGCCGCTGCCAAGGCTGCCGGAAGTGGCCCAGGATTCAACGGTGGTTCCATGGGTGATCTCCTCGCGGCTAGCGGATTCAACGGATTCAAGGGCGCGGGTGCCGCTGCTCCACCAGCTGCTCCCCCGGCTGCTCCCGCCCCACCCGCTGGGGACAATAACGGAAACAACGGAAACGGAAACAACGGAAATGGAAACGGCGGAAACGGGAACGGGAACAACGGAAATGGTAACGGAAACGGAAACGGAGCTACTGTCACTGTCACCGCCACCGTCACCGTTACTCAGTGCCCAACTGAGGCTGCTGCTGCACCCGAAGCCCCTGCTGCACCCGAAGCTACCCCCGCCCCCGAAGCTCCCGCTGCCACGCCCGCCCCCGTCTGCGATGCCCCCACTGCCCCACCCGCGGCGCCTGAGGCTCCCACGCCGCCCGCCGGTGGTAACGGAGGTGCTGGTGCCCTAGATCTTGGCCTCTGCAAGGCCGACGAGGCCATGATGGTAGTTGCCCTCGGAGCTGACCCTGCCGGTGACCGCGCCCAGGAGATCCGATTCGTACCCGGTGCGTTCGGCAAGTCTGGAGTCTTTGCTGGTCAAGCCTCCGCCCTGAACCCGACCATCATTGCCAACTTCATCTGCGACCGTATCGGTGACCAATGCAAGGCTCCGGCCGCCACCGTGGCTTCCTGCCAAGCCGCCGAAGCGGCCCTTGGTGCTGCGGGTCTCAAGGGTGGAAAGAACCTCGATGCCGCCGCGAAGGCCGCCCTCGGCAAGCTGGCCGATGACTTCAACTTGGGTATGGGTATCAGCACCAACTTTGCCCAGACTCTGTAAACCAACAAGCACCAGCAAAAATCGTGTAAAGAAGTGTTCTTTTGCCTCAGCTTACACTAGAGAAGACCCATGTAAATTTTGTCAGTGTTTCCCTGTAAATAACAGACTGCTTGTATATCATAAATATGAAATCTCGTTCTCTTCAAAAACCTTTCGTTACGTCTTTCCAATACTGCTGGGTATCCTTGCTCAATTGTGCTGGTGGAGATCTTTCAATATTTCGCAAGTCATTCTTGCCAGCTTTATGTTTAAAGAGATGGACTTTGCATCAGGATGGAGTGGTGTAAGTGAGCAAATTTTGGCGGTGCTGATTCCTCTGATGTTATCGTGGATACTTGTATCGGAAACGGGAATCAAGCTGGGTCATTTCAAGGTGATATGGGTATATCCCTTGTCACATATTCCACAGACTTTTATTGCGTTCTTTGTGGATTGGTATACGGTCTTTACTCTTCACCAGCGATCATGGGGTGGATCTAGGGTTGATGCTCGGAATGATAGTGGAAAAACGGTAGTTGGTCCTTCTGATAATAATGTGTAGTGGAGGTCAAGTGAAGTGAAAACATAAACTAGAGCATTATTCCATAGATTTGCATTTAGGCATATAAAAAAGGATAAAATATATCATAGCACGTTAGACTAAAAGCATCTCCTCGTGACAGTACCAATTGGTGCTGCACTGGAATGTTCATTTCTATTGTACCCAAATTACTTTCGTCCCGCTGATGATTTGCTTTAGGCGTCACCCGAGAAGTAGCTCCATTTCCATCAAATTCGGAATGCTTACTTAGATGCTATATATCTACGTCCGCTCCATACTTTATATCGTTTTCGAGGTTACCGTCGAGAAGAGGATTGCGCTGATCACAACGGTTAATATACCAGCGATTTTCATTATTGGACACTTGGATACTTCGCTGAAGTCGATACTCCACTCGAAGGTATATTCCCCCTGCAGTAAATGTCATATTAGTTGCAAGAAAAATAAGGACGCAATTGAAAACGCACCACCATAGTGAGAATCGAAGATGTACTCGCTGCGAGTACTTTCTCTAATTTTTCAATTTGTTTCGAATGAGCCCTGACGATAGAAAAATGACTGTATTAGCGTCTATCGCAAGAGGTTCTTGTTGTACAAGAAAAACATTAACATTGTCGCACCTACCAGTTCTACAATATACCGAAAAATGCTCGCAACTTTGATCCTTCACATTGGATATGTGGAGCGTTGAAGGGGATCTGAACAGGCTTGGTATTCAGTTAGCGTATAAGAAATTTGCGCCTTATTAATCGATTGCGCCAGTTTGGTTTCCGGATTTTGCCAGGTATTTGAGGTCGATCTATCGATAGGAAGAGGTCAGAAACAGCAAAATACCATTTGTCAACGAAGTGCGAAATGCGTATTTGTCATCATCTTTCATTTTTCTGATGCATTTAGATAAATGAACGTCAACATCTCCTACAAAGGAGAAATCACTACTTACTGTATGTGTCCTGAAGATTGTATTGATAAACTCAAGTCTGTCATCGAGTCAAAGTGGGATATTCCATTCGAAAATCAAAAGCTTATAGGTATTCCAAAAACACTACAGGATGAGAATGCAACCATCGCGTCATACAAACTCAAGAAGGGTCGCAAAATCATCCTGGTCGGATCTACCAGAGCGGAGTTGGAAAAAGTAACGAATCCGCCTACATGTGAGACAATAACAGAAAATGTGCAGATGGAGAAATGGGAAACGCTGGAGAAACACAAAAAGATCCTTTCCAAAGGTGTTATCTAGGGAGGGACAATTGGTATAATGGACTGTCCGGAAAGGCTTCCAGACGATAAAACGGTTACTCATTTACGAAATTTTTTTGGGAACAAAATGAGGATGACGTTTAAATATGATCATATTGCGTTTAACACGGATACAGGGACGAGCTCCCTTCCATATGATGATATCTGTGACATATCTTCCCAACCTTTATCCGATCATCCTGGATACAGCATAATTCTTTTTAAAGCAAAAGGAAATTTTATATCTCGGGAGTTGTATGTATATTTCGTACCAGACCAATATGTAGGAGCCATAAAGCTGTATGACATACAAAATATGTTGACTCCAGAGAATCTTCAAGGTCTTACTGTATTTAGACAGTAAACATCGTTACATGTAACTTACGCCGAAATGGAAGCCGACCATAGCAGAATGCCACCCATACTTCACGTATGGACATGAAACAATGCAGAATGCGTGC